ACACACAATGTTCGTCGGGAGAAAGATAAGTGAAGTAAAGTAAGTTTTAGGTTATTATTTGTTTGCATTGGCTGTGAAACGCATTTTACTGTAGATTTTTTTTGTTGTTGTTAGTTAGTTAGTTAGTAATTAAAATAAACTACATACAATAATAATATTTAGAAATTTTCATATATACAATTTTAAGCTGATAAGATAAATAATAGTAGACATTACCCCACTTGTATAGTGACTTTCATTAATAAACGCCTTTTTATACTTTTTTACAAAATGTTATCTCATTTATTTTATTTATATTAAATTTGATCCAATTTCCTCAGATTAGCAATAAACAAATCTTAATATTCTCTATGAAGTTTTTGCGCTGTTGTTGGAATCTCCTTAAAAATGCCAATTCCTTAAAATTAACAATTTCAAATTCAGAAATCATCTAAATGTCCTGACTTTACTTAAAAAATATAAGACCCGTAATTTATTTGCTATTCAATTTAAGAAAGCTTTCCCGAACAGTACAATAGTAGAATATACATGCTTGTTCATGTTTAGGCAATTTATAAACTAATGCCTGTCATCTTAACATGTTTAGATATAGAGCGATATGTTAGCATTTCAAATATAAAGAAATACCGATTATTATTGACAATCACTGTACGCACATGTGTATGTCTGCATATTTTGTTTATCATATTCAAATATGATAATAAGTAGAATTATTTTTATCATAAAATAACTGAAATTGCTAAATATTTTGTTACAAATTATTGTGGTTTCACTTTTTAATAACTTCACGTAAAGGACCCTCTTTTCTTATCTTTTTATTGTATAAATATATACTTGTAAATGATACTTAAGCACAAAAGTCTACGAATTTGTTAATTATATTGTAGATACAATTAATAAAAAATACTGAAATATACTAAAAAGATGAAAAAAGGCACGTGGCGCCAAATGTTATATTTTCCGCAATTTGAATAGTTTTCCCTTTTTGCTATGTGAAAGCTTTAGTATCAAAGAACTAACTATGTACATATTTACAAATTAGTTTTCCAATCATTTCTATGCTAGTTTTCAAAGAAGCGTCGTCATCTAATAAATACATATGTATGTATTTTTATCACAACAAATACTTGAAATTATTCCATATAAAGTTGAGGTCATATAAGAATATTAATTTCATTAAAGCAGTACTTTAGTCTTCCTAAAACTACTAACCCTTAAATGTATCTTTCCTAGCATTCCACCATGCAAATATGAACGAACATTCGTGTACATATTAAGTTTAAGGTTATTCATAGTAAAAAATATAATTATTATTTAAAACATAAAAAAATCAAACAAAATTAAAAATAGACAAGTAGTGATTTCCAATCAAATACAACAAAATGACATGAAGGTTAAACACGTGCACAGAATAGCACGAGGTTTGATTTTATAATTTTAATATTATTTTTTCTCTTTTTTATACTATTTAATAGGAATAGAAATGATATTACAATCTACATTAATATACATACATATATGTAGTATGTAGTCAAGTATCAATACAAAATATTTAAATACTGTCTGAACATTGTCTTGACAAATTGATGTCTATGAATTACAACACATTAATACGTTTTTTACAGTTTAGAATAATAAATTGTAAATATTAAGTTTTATAATTTTATTTTGAAAGATTCAATATTTTAGATTATTATTCTGTTGCTACGATCTAATGATTTCTATCGTAATGCATTGCATATTTTGAATATTTTCGGAAAACTTAATTACACTTAGGTTTCATGAATTTTTCATCAAATTTTTTTTAATCTCGATTTATCATCATCAAATTATTAAAAACTTTAAAAAACTTTCTCCACAAAAAATAAATTTTTCTTTAGAATTCGTTTTTTTTTTAAATCTATAAAAATTTCATTCTAATTTATAAATTTTTGCAAAAAAAAAAAAATATTTTTAAGGAACTTTTTTACAGATCTTAATTTTTGGTAAATTTATTGAAAAAATTAAAATTTACAATTGTCATGTAAAAATAACTAACATTGTAAAAATTTTATTTAATTATATTTGGTTTATTTTATTTATTTATCTAGAATTGAAAATGTTTAGGCTTTTAGTTCATATTCGTGTTTATAGAAAAGTATCAAAGTTTTTCTATTGAAATTATATATTACTTTTAGAATATTCCGCATGTTTGTTAGTCTGCTTTGCAGTTTCATTAAATAAATTATCACATTATTAATAATTTGTATCAGATATTTACTAAATATATTATATAGCCATCAAACGGCAATATCTTATATGAATAAAGCTGTTTTAAGAATCTTTGTATGAAATCAGTCTTTATGAATGCTTCAACAATTAACTTAAATAAGGCGAAAGATATTTGACGTAAAAGTTATTTTTAAAACAATATAAATCATATTTGTTTAATTTTTTACATTAATGTACTCTTTATTTAGCGAAAGTGGAAAAAATAATGTTTAATTAATCTATTACAATATTGTAATTGTTACTATAAATCAATATAATAATTTCAAGCAATAGGTATTTAATAAAACTTTAAAAATTTATTTTTATTTTGCGTATTTAAAAGGTGTGTTTTAAACTTGCTAAATCTTTTTTTCAACTTCTATTTTATAAAGTCAACATTGTAATGTACGAAAATTAATATTAAGTAACAATGTTCGAATGTGATGATATGTTAACAATATTAATAATGAAAATAAATAAAATAAAAACAAAAGTTGATGACATTACTACAGAGGTGTACAGCGTTAAATTATTCAAATCACGCAGTTAAGGCTTAAATATTTTTTTGGAAATAAAAATGAGCTTTTTGTGAGTACATTTTTTTGTTATTTTAATCTAAATTCTCTTATTGATACTCTCTTAATAAATTGTTAATTATTTTGTTTGTTTTATACTTTTTATAAAATTATAACAATTATTTGTTAAATAAAATCATTAAATATTCAGTAATACATATAAACTTTTGCACTCGATTTTTTCTTAATAGAAATATTAATATTCAAAACTAGTATATAAAAACTATATATAAAGTATATATTATATAAAGTATACAAAAAGAGTGCTTAAACCGCAAAATAACTAACTAAACTTTCGGAAACAATAAAATTTTATTTAGGAAATATGAATATTTCAAGAAATCTACAACATCTTTATTCATTGATAAGAGTTTATAGTGAAAAACTTGATTCTCAGTAATGCAGATAACTCATCATATTAAACCTATTAAGAATGATTCATTTGTAAAGTGCACACATAACGATAATATTAATTTTTTGTTTTTATTTATTTTATGTTGTATCAATAAATAACACAGGTAGAAAAAATACTTGTTTTAACACCAGTAATACATACTACAAATATTGTTGACGATGTTAGTATTATTTTGAGATACTATAATGATGACTTTCTTATTTTTTTTAGAATATTTATGGATAAGTTTTTTTTGTATACAAACATAAACATGTGCTCAAAAACCCCCGTCATTTAAATAGTTTGAGCCGGCATTTTTGTTGTTGATATTACATTTTGAGATTGCAATAATTACAAAGAAGAAGTGTTAAATACATAATAAACCCACTACTGAAATGTAAATATTGACAAGAATAACCTAAAATAAAAATATTAACACGTTGGCTTAAATGTCGTCTATAGCCGTCATATAATGTTATTTTTGTAATATTAGGTATAAATCGGAGTTATTTTAAATACTTCTATAATTATACGTAGTTTCATTATATCAATAATACTCGAATTTTTTTCAAACATTAAATGAGCATCTGGGTGGCTTCATCAGTTCTTGAGTGCGCGTCAACGTGTTAATTTTCTTTAATATGACAGATACATTACTGCCTTTTTAAGAATCTAGGAAGACTGTACGAATACCTCTTAATCGATGCGTTTTAATGTACTAAACACGAGAAAAATAAAAAAAATATATTTTTTAAAAGTGCCCTACCAGCAATTGAATGTACAATATGACCAAAAAATATAAGTGTCAAAATTGTCATAATTTTTAGCTTATACAGAATTTTGAAAATTGTTTCTTGTTGGTGTAACAGATTGGCTGTGACTGGACGAAGGAAGATCAATTTGTCGTGGAAGCGTATTATTTATGTTGTTGTTGTTGTAACAGTTCGACTGTGGCCGATAGTTCTTTCCTGGGGAAAAAGCTTTCGGTTGATACAGCTGTCGCTGGGTTGACAACCTTTGGCCGAGTATGATTCGGGTCGTTCCGGAGCGAAGATCCAATTGTCGTGGGAACGAACGTATTATTTATCATTTGGTTTGGTCGATTTTAGAATTTTTTTGATTATTTTGGAATTTATGTGCCCTTCATGACAATTCGTTTTGCGGACCAGTCCCTTAATTCACAAACAAAATTTTTATTTTATAAACTGTTTATAAATTAGATTTTGTACGGAAATTTTGTTTTTAAACCTTTTATAAAATAAAAATGTTGTTTGTGAATAAGGGGGCAGATATATACTCTAACAAACATTTTAATTATTTTTCTCGCAATAAGACCAAAAATTACGGAATTTTTGACCCATTTAGAAAAAGTTGCAGACTATCTTTTTTGAATATTTTCAATCACTGGTAGGTGAAATCCTTTAAAAAAAAATATTTTATTTTTTTTCTCGTATTTATTACATTTTTCAACTTTATTTTAGAAATTTTTTATTGAATTTCAGAATTTGTAATTACATTTCAGAAATTTTAGAAACAAAGAATAATGTTAGAAATTATTTCCTAATTGAAAATAAGGAAATAGTTACAAAAACATTATTTTAAATTGAATTAGAAATTATACTTCTCTAAAGCAAAACTTATTGGAATTGGTTTAGATGGTAAACTCATTTTAATTCTACTTTAGATAATAATTCCAGGAACCTATAGCTATTGATACATTTTCTAATAAGAATTAGTTTTATTTAAATTCTATTACGAAACAACTAGAATTATTAACTTACCTTATATAAAACTCCTTAAATGCGATTTGTTTTTATTAACGTAAACGTCTCGAGGTATATACAGCCTGTTCTCAAAAGGAACAGTTGTTAAATTGAACAGCGACAGCAGCAGCAATAAATAACTGATAATGTTAAATGCAAAACTGTATATGAAGAGAAAAGCGAGAATATTTTTAACTTTAATTACACTTGCATCAACGACATCAGAAATTTTCATAATGATTATGTTGAAGTTGGTGACAAATAATTCAATTCCATTCTTCCACTTCTTTAAACAATTAACAAAGAGAGTGGAAACATGAAAGTGATAAGGAAAATATAAAAATGTTCTAAAGAACAGAAAATAAAAAAGGGAGAAAAGTGATTAAAAATTGATTTAATGTAATTATAAATAGCCAGAACATTTGATACAATGTAAGAATGCAAGGATAACTATTTTCATACGTATTTATGTATGTATGATGTTTGGCCTTGAAAATGTTAATTATGTAAAAGTTTTTAAGATGGATATTTTTTTGAAAAACTTGGATGCTGGATTAAATTCGTACTTTTTTTAATTATTTATTTCTTCATTCAATAAATTACATAAGAAAAATAACTTGTCAGATACGCACACGGTTTCCTTGATCAATCACCCAGTTATTTTAAATAAAACAAATTGCAATAATTAAAAGATTTGTCCTGTATGGGTGGGTTCAGGACCCCATCAAAAATAAACAACTATTGGAATGCTATAGTAGATACATATGTACGAGAAGACGTATATACATATACATATTAAGAAGTCCATAGATGATTGAATAAATATTTAAAAACACAACAAATCAGCTGGATGAAAGAGTGTACATAAATGTGTCTACATATGTACTTAAGGTATGACTTTTTTACGTATTTTTTAGTCACTAAAAGAGAGGAGGTTGGTGGTGGAACTTTTTTAAGAGTGTTTATGTATGCTCCCAATTTTATTTCCCTGCAGTTCGTAGTAGCTGCACCAATCTAGTGTTTTATCCCATTTTTGAGATTAGATCTGGTTACAAACATTTCAATCTGACTACATAGTTATTTTAATATATGAGTAAATATTATAGGAGTTAGTCATAGACTATAGTCACAGGTCACTAATTATTTTTGGATAATACTCCACATAACAAATGTTTACTTTGAATTCTAATTAAACTGCTGGGTAGTAGCTATTATTTGGTACTTGTTTTATTACAATGTGGGGTTGAAAAACAAAAATAAATTAGAACCAAATGCAGGACGCACTTGTTCATATTATTGAAGGAGGTGTGGTCGGGTGTTAAGAATATTCTTTAATTCAATAAATGTATTGTTAGTTGCAAATAAGCCCGGTAAGCAAAAACATTTTATAATATAGGTATATAGATTTGCATTTATTTTTGTTAATGAAAAAATGGTCACGCGTGCAAAGTTTCATTAAAACAAAAATCCTCACAAATTAAGAAACAATTGTATTACAGCAAAAAAATATTCATGCATTTTTGCATTATTTAAAATTGTATGAAAAAAAAAATATACATATATATTCTGTATAGAATAAATCGTACAAAGAAAGGTGTTTAACCTCCATTCTTTCTTTTATTTTTCGTTTCGTATTTTTTCTTATTCACAACTTTTATAAAAATATTGATTCTTGATAAAACTAGCATTTAATTAATATTTTTTTTTTAATATTTCTTTAAACTCAACACACATTTCACTTCTTTTTTTATTAATTTATTCAACAATTTTTTCGGAAAAAATCCATTTAATCATTGGATATACAAAAGCACTATTAGCACCACATTAGTTACAAAAATGCTCTTTTTATATTTTACGATTCTGTTAAAACACAATTTATAATTATTTACCGTTTAGTTAAATTTTCTTTTGATAAATTCTTATGAGTGATGTTAATTTTGTTTATTTTAAAAAAAATTATTTTATTTAAAAAAAAATAATATCACTTTAACTATTTACTTCTGATACGTGTGTGTTTAGCGTTCGTCGTTTTTCGAATGCACTAAAATTTTATCTGCTGCCTACATTAGACCTACGCCGATCAAATTTCTTAACGCTGACTTTTCCAAGCCAGCGGCGGCTTAATATCTGCTCATAGACGACCAAAAAATTCTTTGAAAATATTTGAACAAATAAAATTTTAAAATGTAAAATTTTTAAAACGAATAAAACTATGGAGGGAAAATTCATCAATATCAACTACTTTTATGCAAACTTAATTAATCTTACAAATTGTTTGTTGACGGCGACTTTTAAAATTTATCGGCGGCTATGAAAAGTCGGCTTATAAAAAATACAAAAACAAATCATTTTCAGTGTTGTAATTAAATAAGAAATGTGTGTTGGTATTTTAGAACTGGGAAAAACGGATAATTTTATTTCATTAGATTGCATTTTAAATATAAATACAGCTGAATGGAATAAAAAATTGTTTAAACCAAAAAATAGTGAAAAATATGGGATATTTTAATTTATATACACGGGATATTAAAATTATAATTTATATATATAAACTAAATAATATTTTAATTGCAATACCCTTTTCATTCTTGTATGCCAAATTTTGCATTTTTCCTACTAGAATTCATGTATATTTTTCCCAATTTTCCAAAAAAGGAAATTTTGTTTTTATGAGAAATCTAGTAAAAATCAACTAGAATCTCCCGAAATCTTATTGGTATTAAATGTACCATGTTCATACCAACAGTTGAATTACTTAATTCGTTCTCTGAATTTCAATAGCATTTTCAGGACATATCGTAATTAATTTTGACTCATTATTTTGTTATTTTTTGGAATACATGTGTCTGTATGATCCTACCTTTAGTTACTATTTATTTTTATTAAATCTCGTAATAAAGAAGTATTCAAAATAATGGAGTTCGTTATAAACGGGTTTGCCTGTAGTTCCTTTCCATTAGTTTTACAACCAAAATCTTTCTTGTTAAAATAAGACGACAGTTTCACATGCAATGCTTCTTTTATGTTCAAAAATTTGCGCGGAATTTTTCACAAACAAAATACATAATTTATTCATCACATACATTCGTAATTAAGTTAATATTTTAATAAAAATAAGAAAATATAAAACTTTACAAGTGATTTACTATCATTACTTTATTTTTAATTATAATTAAGCTATGGAAGATCCAGTATTTAAACAAAAGTATCAAAAATATAAACTTCGTGTGAAATTATGGGAAAAAGACTTTAAAAAGAAACATGGCAGAATACCTTCCAAAGTAAATTATACAAAATATTAATTCTTTTTGCAAGAGTATTAATTAAAACATTTTATTTCAGTACGATATACGAGAAGCTTCTCAGGAGATAAGAGACTCGTATAAAATGTATTACAAATTGAAGACATCATTTTTGGAAGATACTCTGAATGATGTTTTGTCTGATGACGGTTTCGATGTTTTGGAAATGTCTCAAAGGGATGGTGAAATGGACGTTAGTTTAACGGAAAGCATTAACGGTGGACCCCAATTGCCCTTAGACATATCAAAATTGGTAGAACAGCAACAGGACGAAGGTGATTCCCAGGAGCACTGTAATGGTTTCTCAAACATACAAGAGTTACCAAGTGGTTATGCTCTGACAAACTTGGCAAACAGAAATGAAAATCATGTTTTAAAGGAATTTGAGCCGGTAGAAGTCCTACCGCTAAACGATAAAGCCTGGGGCCCAAATGTTGCCATGAAACCAGAAATTAAGGAAAAGAAAGAGCTGCCGCGCAAGAGTCTAAAGCCAAACTTTAAAGAGAAACTATTTCAGAATACCTCTTTTTCTAAAAGAAATCCTCGAAAATCCTTATCAAAATCTGCGCTAGACAATTCATTACGTGGTAGTCAGACTAATTTAAGTGACACTTTGAATACCAGTAACAAAGAAGTGCTTCCTGATTTAGAAACGATATTGCTACAGAAAGCCAAGGAGCAGCAAGCAGCAGCCATAATTGCAGCAAATCCCCTTTTAGCCGCTGAAAAAACTAAGGAAAACATAAAAACCCAAGTAGATGAAGGATGGCTTGAGCGGAATGCTGTTCAGAATGGCATCAAAACAAAAGTAAACATAATGAAAAATGTGCAAAAAGTGGAGGAGAATAATAATCAAAGCTCTCCAACTCCCAATAGAAAGTCTATCTACGGTTTATCAAATATTGATGTGTCTAAATTTCAAACAACTCCTGCGGACACACTAACCGTGCCAACACCCACAGAAACTAATCAAATATCGCCAAATAATTTCAACTCAAACATGGAAATTGAAACTACAGAAACACCATACTTTCAAGAAATGCCACTAGACCAAACCAAAAAGACTCAAGCGGAAAATAACAAATCTCATGATTCTGATTCCATAGTAGATGATAGCGAGGAAGAGAAAGAACCTCAGGAATATCGACATATAGTTAAAAGAAGGAGAATTATTGCATCAACATCGCCCAAGGCTGTTGAGAAAATAAACAACAGTCATACAGACAAACCAGACGTGCAACAAGATGTGGAAAATTCAGTCCCTGCTGATGTTGATTTGGAAAAAGATTTCTCACCAGATAGTGAAAAAGATGATGAAGATTATGTTCAGGAAAAGCCTAAAGTCAGACGGAAGAAAGCTGTAGCCAAAAGGAAAACATCAGCTAAACCGAAAGCCTCTCCAAAGAGCAAAAAAACAAAAGAAAAATCTCCGAAAGAGAAAAAGCCTAAGGCAGCTACTAGAACCTCTAAAAAGAAAGCAATTAAAAGTGAGGAGTTGCCGGATGAAGAGGAATTAGAAACGCAACCACTTAATCCCGAAGATCTTAAATACACATTAGCATTAGAAAGAGGTGACATAACCTCTGTACCCCGCATTAAACAGACTGATTTAGATAAGGCCGACAACTTAGCTCAACAGTATATAAACACCATGGCACCAATGCCAGGTACCACTCCATCCTCAAGACCTATACCGGTAACAGCTGCTGAGGAGAAGAGAGCTGCTGCCAGACGTAAGTTGGAGGAAAAGGTTGCCAGTGGTAAACTAAATGAAAATTTCGTTACCATAAATATACAAAAGAAAACCTTTGTGCGAGGTAAAAAGTCCGTCAATTATTCGAAATATAAAAAGAAATTATGGAAACACAAAAAACATATTGCCGCTTTATCGGGTCCAAATATGGATATGGGTGGTTGTGATGGTGGTACATTAAAGTGTTTCAACTGTGGTCAAGCTGGTCATTTTGCTCAGAATTGCAAAGTAAAGGGGGATTCTCTCTTACCATTAACGGCTCAACTGGAAGAAGATCCCTCCCCATTTCCAACGCTAGAAGAGGCCGAACGTATGGCCAGCCAGTCGGCAGTTGCAGTGCACAGTCGAAACATAGCTAAATTGCCCCAAGCTGCTAATGCTGCAATATACAATCAACTGGAACAAAGCAACAGTGATGATAACGAGAGTGATGAGGTAATATTTAAAGTTTCAATTCCACTTGATTTTTTTTCTCATTTTCTTTATATGTATGTTATAAGGTGAAGGTCTGCGCTAACAATAGCGATACAGAAGGCGGTAGCGACGACGAAGATCAGCAGAAAGGCGACGAAGAAATACTAATGGAAACTGACGATGAATTGGAAGACTTTGATGTCGATTTGGCAACTTTGGAAAGCCAGAAGACAATATCGCCTATAAAGAAATATGTCGGCTCTAAAATACCGGATGAATTCCTCAAGGCAGCTGGCATTGACCCAACCAATCCAAACTCAAGCAATTCTACCCAGTTTGGTGGTGTTGGTCCTCTGTATGACCTCAATGCTGATGGCAGTGTTAAAGAACTAACTGACGAAGTATTAGAGGCTCTTAAAATGTTTGGTCATACCAACTTTCGCAAGGGTCAAGATCGTGCAGTAATGCGTATATTATCAGGAATGTCAACATTGGTGACTTTATCCACTGGCAGTGGAAAATCACTGTGTTATCAACTGCCAGCATATCTATATTCCAAACATAAAAAATCTATAACTTTGGTCATATCACCATTGGTATCCTTGATGGAAGATCAAGTAACGGGGGTACCCCATTTTTTGCGTGCACATTGCTTGCATACCAATCAGACACCTCAGCAAAAGGTTAAAATTTTGAAAATGATTGCAGATGGGGAAATTGATGTTCTGCTCGTGTCACCGGAAGCCGTAGTGGCAGGAGAACGTTCAACAGGATTCGGTTCTATATTGAGACAACTACCTCCCATTGCATTCGCCTGTATAGACGAAGCTCATTGTGTCTCACAATGGAGTCACAATTTTCGTCCCAGTTATTTAATGATTTGCAAAGTGCTCAAGCAAAATTTAGGTGTAAAATGTGTGTTGGGGTTAACTGCCACCGCTACGCTTCCCACACGTATGAGTATCATAAATCATTTGGGTATCACTGATGGTGAGAGGGGTATAATTAGTGACATACCATTGCCCGATAATTTAATATTATCCGTGTCGAAGGATGAAAATCGTGATTCGGCTTTGTTGCAGCTGTTATTGAGTAAGCGTTTCGAAACATGTCAATCCATTATAATCTATTGTACTCGGCGCGATGAATGCGAACGTATAGCAGGATATTTGCGTACTTGCTTGCAGGATCGAAAAGTACCCGAACCAGAAAATGGTAAAAAGAAACGTAAACGAGTCAATTGGCATGCAGAACCATATCACGCTGGCATGCCGGCTTCAAGAAGACGCACCATTCAAAATGCCTTCATGAGCAACGAACTGCGTATTGTCGTTGCTACTATAGCCTTTGGTATGGGTATTAACAAGCCCGACATTCGTGCTGTAATACATTACAACATGCCACGAAATTTTGAAAGCTATGTACAAGAAGTGGGTCGTGCTGGTCGCGATAATAAAATCTCACATTGTCATCTCTTTTTAGACGCCAATGGCGGCGATCAAAACGAGTTGAAGAGACATATATATGCCAATTCCTTAGATCGCCATGTTATTCGCAAGTTATTGCAGCGTATATTTGTGCCGTGTTCCTGTGATAAAAATCTAAAAGAGTAAGTAAATGTTGTAGAGAGTAGAGTATTAGCTAAGATCGTTTTATCATACTTAGTGGTGTCCTTAAATCATCTTCTACTGGAGAAGATCAAAATACGTCCAACCAAGTAGAAGTGGATGCCTCAGATTTTGGTGAAGAAGGAAAATCCAAAGCTAGAAAACATGTATGCCCTGGTCATGAAATTGGTTTTTCTATAGAAAAAACAGTGGAGGCTTTAGATATACCTGAAGAAAACATATCGACACTTTTGTGCTACATGGAATTAGACAACCGATGGTGTATAAACGTTTTAAGCAATGCTTATATCAAAGCTAAAGTTATATCGTATGGTGGACCAAAGTATCTTAAGTAAGTTGTAGATAAATTACAAAATTGCAAAAAAAAAAATGTTTACTATTCTTAGACACGCGGCCAAAGAATGTCCACCATTAGCCATGGCTATTGCAATGGAAATAAAGAATGGTTCGTTTAAGGAAGACGCTAATATTATAGAATTTTCAGTAGTTGATGTTGCCGCCGCTATCGGATGGAACAGTGGTGTCGTTAAATATCAATTAAAAAACCTGGAATGGGTGCAAGGTAAACTTTAAAGATTTAACGTTAAAAATCGATTTTTAATGCTTCTATTTATGTTAGTTAATGGTTACTCCAAACGCTCACCAATAACTGTCAGTTTCTATGATTTGGGTTTCCGTATAAAGGCTCCAGGAGATTTTACCGCCGAGGAAATTGATGATGCTCTAGATACACTCTATAATCGTTCCGTTAAGCAGGAACAAACTCAGCTAATACAAGTAATTTGTCTTACAAATTTACAATAAATAATTTATGTAAAAATAATTACTGTTTTTACCTTTAGCTACAATATGTTTTTCAAGGTTTATCCTCTGTGGCATACAATTCCTATGGTCCCTGTTGTAATGAAACATTTTCTCATGATCGTTCCGATCAGTTAAAGGGCATCATTCGTGATTATTTCCGTAATGATTATCCTAAAAACTTGAAATTGGAAATAGATGTACGTATATTTTGTGCATATTTTTTGAATATTTTCATGATTGATTATTTTTTAGCCCTCCAATATTTCCGATGGAGAACTAGAATCTGACGTTATAGCCCTTATAAATATGTATCCTGAAAATAATTTTAGTGGCCGCAACATTGCTAGAATCTTTCATGGTATTTCAAGTCCCAATTATCCAGCCGTGATGTGGTATCGCTGCAAATTCTGGCGTGTTCATTCGAAAACCGATTTCAATCGTATTGTACAATTAGCCAATAATGTTATTGTTAGAAGACGTACTTGAAATTCATTTGAACTGTGTTTGTATGTACTGTGTTATAGTGTTTCGTTTATTTCTGTTTAAAATTTTTGTGAAATGTTCTTAATATTTAAATATATAAAAATTCATATTAAGAAAACGTAAATTTATTTAAATAAAAAAGTCGTTAACTAATAAAAATTTTACGGTTTTCTTAACAAGAATTAAAGTAACATTTTTCGATTATTTGCGAAAATATTTATTTATATAACAAATTTTTGTTTTTAGCAAGATTATTTATTAGAAAAAATATTTTATTTTGTGTTTGCAATTGTTTGTATCAACAAAAACTAAAGACAACTTATTAAATAAATACATTCGCTTTTAAAAACAATATAAAAACAAGTACCGAAAACAGGAACTCTAGAAAATTGTGGCGGTAATGGCATAATTTATTAAAAATGTGTATATGTATTTCAAACTGAATAAAAGAAATACTTTATAAACTATTATAACTGCAGTAATGTTCATATGTTAGAAATTTACAAAATCAAAAAGGCAAAGACATCGCAAATGATATATAAAAAAATCAAGACAAAGAAATTTATTTAAATATGTTTTTGTATGCATGTATTTGGAACACTCTCTACATGAGTATTAAAGCTACATCTTGAGGTTTCATGCTTGGACACCGCCAATTATACAAATAGTATTGTAAGTTGCCATCGCCAGGACCAAACTTCAAAGGTCTCAAAAACGTATTGTTCTCCATTAAATCTAGAGCATTATATACATCCATTTGTATATTTTTAGCTGATATAAGGGCATCATTCACCAATTCCAACCAAGGAGTTTTAGTAGAAACGTTGTAGAATGAATAAGCGGCCCTCAACGTCTTATGCACCGGGTGATGCATCACCGACGATGGCAAACAGTAAAAACTAGTCATGTCTGTAATGTTGCCTTGTTCATCTTCAACAATGAAACAATCGATAATGCCCTCTTTGGGGGTGAACCAATGGCGAAATTCTTCTTTACTAAACACCGGACACATATTAAATTTCTTCATATACTCATCCATGAGCTTGTGGGCTTTGTCCATGTCTTTGGCTTCAATGCGACGATAACCCTTTGTTTTTGGTTGGTCTGGTAACTTGTACAATTTTATTGTACGTTGCATGGTCATGTTACGAGCCAGATGAGAGAATTTTACCTTAAAAACAATAAGAAAGGTAAATGCAAGAAAGAAATAAAAGGCGATAAATTGAATACTCACCTCTATTAGTTTCTTAGGATTTAACGACCGATGCCAATAACGACATGTTGCTACTGGCTTTGGTAAAACAACACCAGCTGTGTAGGCTGCTTGAAAGATGCCCGTCAAATTTACACGTCTTGTTATTTCGCGAATCAAAACAGGAGCAACACGTTTGCTGCGTAATTTCTTATGAACACATAAGAAATTTATCTCTACAACTTTCAATACTTTATCATAAGCTCTCAGATTGCTGGGTATGGCCGAAATGAAACCAACCAGGCGTCCTGACTTTACAACACGTACCCCCAAATGCCAGTCTCTTTTCCATCCCGGGGACTGTAGAGACCATTTTAAAAATTCTGGTTGGTAGTCAAAGCGAAACATGGCGTCATCATCCTCCACGTAGTTTTCATTTAATAGCGTATATAGTTCCGTTAGATCACTACTATTGTTTAAGTCCAGCGTATCCCATTTAAATCCCTCTGGCAGAGCATAAGGATCCGGTCTTATTTCAGAGATATCCTTATCGGGTTCAATGCATTCATTTGTTGTAATTTCTTCGTTTAGTTTAGGCACAGGTTGAGTTGACCAGAAGGCAAACTGTTTTGTTTGACGGTTGCCAGACACAGCTTCAGATACCGCTTGCAAAAGATCTTGTCTATTTAGGATATCTACAAAGGCGAAAAAAATCGATTAACCTTAGGAATTTGTAATAAGAATTATGATTATACAAAATCTATTTTTGAATTTTAAAGCAAGAGATAGTATGAAATTTGGTACAAAATTGCATATATTAGGAAAACTTTTAAGGGGTATTATAGAATAAAACAAGTTTTAAAGAACTATTTGTTAAAATTAGGTGCGTCCAAATTTTAAATCCAGCCTGGTTTAGGGATCTAGTTTGTATACAAATTAATTATTGCTATTAAAAAACAAAAATGTTTAAGGGCACATCTTATGCACGCATTGGAAGAGTTTTGGTTTTTATTGTAAATTTTCATATTGTTTGTTGGTACATAATTTGATATTAATGTAAGAACATTTTACCCTTATTTTTTGTAAATATTTATTGAGTTAAACAAGGGTGAGTAACCTCATGACAAAACCGAATATTTGATAAAAAACAAATATGTACCAGCAAACCCAACCCTTAGACAAAGCATTTTCTTAAAAAACACGCAAAGTGTATGGGAGAATAAGGTTATTTTACAAAATAATTATAAAATTTAACTTATTTCGGTAATTTAACTGAAAAAGTCTCATTCCACTATAGTTACAACCACGCCCTAATTTATGGATTTTTTTTATAAAATTATAATAACAAAAGTTTAGATTAAATCTTACTCATATCGGTTCCTAAATTAACAATAGCTGGTAGCTTTTTATTGGTGGCCGCATCTGTCGTTGCCTTTGTTTCTTCCACTTGTTTATTTGCATCATCATCGACCTTTTCGTTTTGTGAAGTCTTGCTAATTTCATCCAAAGATGTTGCGGTTGTTTTATCTTCTCCTGCCTTTTCGTTGCTCTCCTTTGGCATTTTTGTTGTTTTATCCTGTTTAGGCATAACGTTTAATTTAATTTTAATTAAAATTAAAAATGTTTAGTTCTTTTCTAACAAAAATTCAACAATTTTTCTTTTTTGGTTACTATCACACCGCAAAAACCGGTCAACAGAGACCAGAGTCGATTAAAATTGTACGGCGTTAATGGTTACTGTTAATAATGTCAACGGTGTCTGCATATCGGCTATTAAACATTTACTGAAGAAAGGTAAGAAATGCAGAAATAAAATTTTAAATTTCAATAATTAAACAAAAATAATATGAGAATTATCACACAATAAGTGATAGAATAAGTTTTCGTTTGCAACTATTTAAAATTTCAGACGATCAATTGAGGGATATACAAGCCAACTCGTCTCAAATCCGCAGCTGCTGGTCGCCGTCGAAATTTCGGGAAGTCGCTCCGCCGCTGATCCAAAAACGTATGAATTTCTTAAAAAATGTGAACTGAGTTGCCGGTCTATTTCTATTTTATTCAACGATCTAGACATGTCCATCCGCCTGTCTGTGTAAAGCATGGTATAGTCGAAATCGAAAAGAGTTATAGGGCAAATATTATTTAGTAATAAGGTTTGAAAATCGATCTATGATTTTATCTAGCACCCATACAAGTGACCCTGTAAAGTATGGCGAACCGATGCCATATTTGACCCTAAAACCTATTTTACAAAAAATGTGTAAATAGTTAAAAAATTATCTTCTTAAGATAAAATTGATTGATTGATCAAATATTATAATGCTTAAAAATATAAACAAAGATTTTTAACAGAAGCAGGAGTTTAAAAAACCTCAAAACAAAGAAAAAAGAAGAAAATTTTGAATTATATGGGGGTATATGTTTAAAAATGTGGCAAGTTTGAATGATTTTGGTAGTTTTTGATGACAACTTTGGTAAAAAAATAAATGGTGAGTGGCAACGCTACTATTATCATGGTAAAGATAAACAAGTGTATAAAAAGATTAGAGTAATAATATTATAATTTAAAAATAAATTACCTCTGAGCAGTAACCTTTTTTACATTCCACTTGATCGTAAACATTCTTTTTGTTGCTTACTTTTCCAATACGAAGTGAGTAAAAATTCAAAATGTTTATTTTTATTAAATTTGATCAAGTAAATTTAAGTGCAATGATTTCAGAAAGACTTTGTACTTTGATCAACAAAAGTGCATAATGATAACTTTTTACATGTATATGTAACTATATTGTTCCCTTTCAGACAAACATTTTAAAATGTCCCTATCCCGGCCAGTGTACTCGCTATTAGGTGTTTATTTGGAGCAATTGTTCAATCACCCGGTTCGCACAAAATCTATAACGGCGTAAGTACATTTATTTATACATACTGCACATTTGCTTTAAAAGGGTCATAAGTCCAAAATCAAGATTTTAGAGAAATATTTAATAAAGGTTACATTTCTGTCGTGTGAGGCTACTTTATGTTGTTGATGAGTTGTGACTCTTTAAAAGCATGTGACCGTTTATTAACCTTAATTTTTCTTTTTTAGTTCCGCATTAGCAGCTTCAGCCAATTATACCTCTCAGCGTATGTCCGGCCAAAAAAATGTTAATCAAAAGAGTGTCGTAGCGTATGCTCTATTTGGGTTAGTACAGTAACTAGTCATTTGTGTACAAACATTTGATATTTAAACATTTTTCTTTTTAGTTTGCTTTTTGGGGGAAGTGTGCCGCATTATTTCTATCAAACGGTGGAAAGATTATTCCACCAGGATGTTAAATTCAGAAAATTTTTCCAGTTTATTTCTGAACGTTTGATATATGCACCATTTTATCAAGTTTTGTCGTTGTACTTCCTCTCTAGGTTTGAAGTGAGTTTTAAAGACTTAATACATATTTAAAGCAAATTTAAACTAAATTATTTTTATGTATAGATGAATTCTCATCAAGTTGCAATGGCTAATTTGGAAAAACTTTATTGGCCCTTGCTAAAAGCAAATTGGCAATACCTGTCATTGGCTGTTTTTCTTAACATGTACTATGTTCCTCCCATGGTAATTAAAGACAATTTTATCTAAACTTTCTTATCTACTAATCGCATTAATTATCATATATTTTTTATTTTAGTTTCGCACTATAACCATGAGTTTGGTTTCCTTTATTTGGGTTGTGTATATTGCGCACAAACGTCGTCGCTTCCAAGAAAAGCAAGCCGGTGATAGTAAATCAAAATAAAAAGGTCATTTGGCTTTCTTTAGTTTTTAGAATATTGGTGAATGTTTTGTACAGTGTTTTTACAGACTGTTTTTTATTGCGATTTAATGGTTATAATACAAAAAAAATATGTTTAGTAAAATAAAATTATTTTATTTATATTTCAAACTATGTAGGGGAAATTTAAGCGATCAGACGAATTTCCATTTTAATTCCTTCAGAAATATAGTTTAATATAACATTTTTAATTCTTGTTTAAATTTTTTGTACATTACTGTAATATTAAATCCACCTCTGATAGTGTGTTGAATTTTTGTTGGAAACAAAATGGATGCCTTATTTTAGCAGCATTGCATTAGTTTAGTATTTAGTACTAAAGCAGCAAAAAAGTACTACCTAATT